GCCAGTGTAGACACAGCCTATAAGAACAGAAGAACGGCCAGACTGGGTCAGACCAAAGGTCCATCTAGCCCAGTGTCCTGTCTGCCTCAGTGGCCAATGCCCGGGGCCCCAGAGGGAGGGACCACAACAGGGAATCCTCACGTGATCCCTCCCCTGTTGCCTATTCCCAGCCTCTGGCAAACAGAGGCTGGGGACACCATCCCTCCCCATCCTGGTTAACAGTCATCGATGGACCGATCCTCCAGGAATGTATCTAGCTCTCTTTGGAACCTATCCTGCTGTGGCCATGGCGGCATAGCACACGCGAGCAACCTGACTTACTGCCTGGGTAGCCCCGCCGATGGTGGTATTCAAGCTAGCTAGAGCGGCAGTGGCCCACTTGCGGCCCATTGGGGTCCTGTGTGTGGCCCACCAACCATTTAGTTACCGTTGCCCCCATGCAGGGGCGCTGGATTCCACTGGTTTCCACCCACGTAGGTTTTTCCTGCCGGTGTTACTAAAGGGACACACAGGAAGAACAAAGGCACACTGTGAAGTGAGGTGCGTGCCGATTGCACACAACTTGGCTTGTAAGAGCCGCACACTCCCTCTGCACCCACTCTAGGTGCACCAGCGCAGGGAGCAGCGCTGCCTTCTCCCGGGAGACCGGCGTGGTGCCGAGAATCCTGCGGCCCACGGAGCTGGAGGGTCACGCGTGCGGCCCGCCCCCTCGCCCATCTCTGATCTGGATTAACTACCTCAGTTCCATGTGCCCTCCCTTGTATGTCTAACTGGCCACTCGCACCTCCTGCCTCAGGAGCTGCTTCCTGGTGACAAGCCTGACACAAACAGTGCTCCCCTACAGCTTTGGGGCTCTTGCTGCTGCTTGGTGTATGGCACAAGGTTGGTGCACAGCTCACGGGCAGGGGAGGGGCAGATGTACACTTTTGCACGCCTACTCCCTGAGCTCCTCTGCACACACTCCCTGAGGCAGAGCAGAGTCTGGGCAGCGGCGGGGGCCTGGCTGCCCTCCCCTGCTGAATACAACCCCGCACGAAACGGAGGGGTCCCTCAGTGGCCTGGCTCAACCGCGTCGCCACTCCAGGGAGAGCTGTCCTGCGTCCGGCGACTCACCCCCCTCTCTCGCAGCCTGCGGGTTAGGCTGGGCAGCTGAAGGAAACCTTCTGGGAAATAGGAGGGGGAGTTCTGTAATTGTGCTTCCTCGCACGATGTGCACGCACGCACGTATGCTCTCAGGGGTGCACACTGCCCACCTGAGGTACTTACACGGCCCCTATTTCTGTAGTCTCTGAGCACGAGGGATGGGAAATCCCGTTTAATTGATTATTTAGTTAGCCAATTATCCTTGTGGACCAAAACAAATCAGAAACCAATGGAGGTCCAGATTAAGAAAAGAAAATGGCGACGAGCAGGCCACATCCTGCGTCAGGACTATCATGAGACAAGCGTTAGAATGGAATCCAAAGGGTAAGAGGAAGAGGGGACGTCCCAAACAAACATGGCGATGAAGCTGCCCGGATGAAGTAAGAGCAGCTGGCTTAACATGGGATCAAATCAAGACTATCGCTAAGGATCGCAAGAGATGGAGAATGATTGTGGAGGCCCTATGCTCCACTAGGAGCCCAAAGGACTAATAGGTGCAGGGGTGGGTCAGCCATGGTTTAATTAAATATCCCCCACTTAATTAAAATAAAAATGGCTGCCACGTTGTGCCGGCTGAGCTGATCGTTGGCATAGCGCATGAGTCAAGATGTGGATTGGTCGACAGGGAACGCCTTTGTCGACAGATCCTGTACACCTCAGCGATTGACAAAGGCTTACCCTGTTGACCGATCCACATCTTGACTGCCGTGCTGTGCCGACGATCAGCTGAGTCGGCACAACGCGGCGGCCATTTTTATTTTAATGAAGCAGGGGATATTTAAATACCCACTTCATTGACTATGTCGGGTAGTCTAATTTACATGCCTCTGTTGGCAGAGGCATGTAGTCTAGACATACCCAGAGATACACACACGCCAAGGCATTCCCTCGCACGGATACACACACACCAAGGCATGCCCTCGCACGGATATACACACACACCAAGGCATGCCCTCGCACGGATACACACACACACACACACACTCCAGCGTGTCCTCTCTTACACAAACATATTTTAACTATTTCTGCCCCCTATTCTAGAGAGAAATCGTCTCTCCTCTCAAGAGGTCTCCAGCACCCCACGCCCTGCACCCGGCACTCCCCCGTATGCCGCTGCGAGTGCTCTTCCCCCCGAACACACGCTGGAAGCCCCCGGGAGCTCCCACAGCTCAAGACACCGAGAAGGGTTGCAGTTTTGCAATGGCCAAGTCAACAGAGAGGTTTCCTTTCATTGGCTGCCAAGTTTCCGCAGGATTTCGACCGTCCCGTGGAGAATTCCTGAAAGGCAGGGCTTTGCGCCGAGGGAGCCCAGATGCTGCCTTAACCCCGGTGCTGTAATTACCCCACTAAACTTAGAAAGCCGAGGAAGTGCCCTGTGTAGCCCTGCAATTAGGAGGACGTTTAATTGCAGCGTGATTGCCCATTGTTTTCCTCACCGCCCCTCCAGCTGCCAACAACCAGAGTATCGACAGGAGGGCTACTGCCAAGCCTGGCCACGCGGTCTCTCGGGGGCATGGCTGTGCGCTCACACAAACCCACGCGTGCCCCGGCACATGCGATATTCCGAGGCAGGAAGGACCCCGGGCGGGACCTGCCGAGCAACGGGCACGATGGGCCACTGCGACTTGAGCGAAAGGCCACGTTCAAGGGCAGTAGCAGGCGCATACCTCTTTAGATGTGGTCCACCCCAGAGAGACAGAGCCGCCTCGGGCCTGGGTTTCCTGCCCACAGGGGAAGAGATGCACCCAGCAGCAGGTGTATAAGCACACCCGCACACACACCCACACAGGCAGGCACAGGCACGCACACCCTACAGCAGTGGTTGTCAAACTTTTTTTCTTATGACTCAGTTGAAGAAAATTGGTGCTGCTGCGACTCGACATCATTTAAGAGGAGGGTGGGCTCCGGGGTGGGCGCTTTGGGGCGGAGGAAGGGGCTCTGGCTTTGGTAGAGCTTTGGGATGTAGGAGGGGACTCCGGCTTTGAGGGTATCAGGTCTGGGGCAAAGGGGCTTACTTTGAGTGGCTTCCAGTCAGCAGCCAATGGGAGCAAGGAGCTAGTGCTCAGGGCACGGGGGCTAGTGCATAGAGCCCTGTGTGCTCTCTTTCCCCACCCATACCTAGGAGCTGGGCCTGCTGCCAGCTACTTCTGGGGTGCAGCACAGTCTGCATTGCCAGGATACCTGATCCCCCTGCAGCCATAAGACCCAGGGCGCAACTTTTCACGACTGTAGTTTGAAAACCACTGGGTCAAACATTTAAAAGTCTCAGAGGAGAAGCCATGTGAATCTGTATCTGCAGGAGCAACGAGAAGACTCACAGATTTATTTGGGCATAAACTTTCATAGGTAAAAACAAATGCCCAAATAAATCTGTTAGTTTTTAAGGTGCCACAGGACTTCTTGTTGTTTTAATATTTAAAAGGGTTTTCAAGGACATGTTTCCAAATAAGTTGGAGGTGTGAGGAGAGTAGTCACTGGGTTACTGCATATGTTTGTGAATTTTAGCACTTACACAGGAAACCGCTTTACCAGGAATGATAACAGGCCTGAAAAGCCTACCATAGAGTGAGACTGAAGCAGCTTGATTTATTTAGCTTATCCAAAAGGAGGTTGAGTGGTGACTTGATTGTGGCCTATCAGAAATTGCAGAGGGAGAGGATTTCAGAGGAGAAAGCACTTACACAGACAATGGTAAAATAAGATGAAACAGCTGAAAGTTGAAGGTAAACAGGTGCAGAGAAATAACCCCGTTATATTTTGCACTTTAATTAACCATTGGAATATTTTTCAGCTGCCCCAGGGTCTGGTCATTTTAAGGGCCTCACCATAGCTGCTGCTACTATAGCAGTTGCCAAAAACCACAGGTCCTTAAATCACTGCCAGAGCCCTGAGCAGTACACTCTAGGCACCACTGAAGGACTTGCTGGGGGAGGCAAAACACCCGCCTTGCCCCTTTTAGGGGTGCAAAACTGGGCCCTTCACTGTCTTGCCCAGGGGCCCAGCCTGTCTGTTGGTTGCCCTGTTTCCACCTCACTTGAAGCCTGTAAGTCAGAGGTGGGGAACCTAAACTTGCCCTCAGCTTTCCTTCTGTGAGGCTGGAGCACACAAAATCTACTAGTCTGGGCCTGCCTTGGCTCTGGTGTGCAAGCAGAATGTGGGGAGTCCGGGGCCACATCAATGAGGGGTCTGGTTTTGGTTTTGGTTTGGAGAGGGGAGTTGTTGTGTTGTTTTGTTTGTTTTTTGTGTGTGCATGGTCCCCGACTGATTTTTCTGTGGGTCTATGGCTTCTGATCCAAAAAAGGCTCCCCATCCCTACTGTAAATCATGACTGGGTGACACACCCTAGCTCAAACAATTTATGGACTTCATTCAGAATTGTTTGGTAAACTTCTCTGCCCTGTATTATGCAGCAGGTCAGAGTAGCTGATCACAGTCACCTTAAAATCAATTAACTCATTTATCACCACAGCCTCCACTCTTGTGCTGTAGGCACATCAGTATTATTGTTTCCATTTTACAGACAGAGATTCTGAGAGTGGCAAGTGAGGTAGAGATGGTCAGCGATTTTCCAAAGCCATAGAAGAGGGCAGAGAAAGTAATAGGCTGGAGGAGTAGTTCACTCTCAGTGGATTGATCTACACTGGGAAAACAGGTGTTTAAAACTAGCTAACAACACTATTGATTCTCCCACTATCAACAAACCAAATTCTCCCCTTGACTTCCCTTACTCCTCATGATTCCATGGCATATCGGGGGGGTTGACGGGGATGCCATCAGTGAGGGCATCATTTAGGGGGTTCTTACTCGACTCGCAAAATCAAACCCTGGTAGATCAATCTCTGGAGAAGTACCTGGCTTTTGCAAGCTGCTAGTATTGATAGAGGTGTAGTTTTATAGAGATAAGTAGTTTTGCTGGGCCTCTTGGGTCACCTATCTTGTAAATTATATGAAAGAACCCAGAGTCTCAGCTGAGTATTTTAAAAACTATTCATGAATTTAAATAAGTAATTTGCAGGGTGATCTTCCAGCCACTCAATTTAATAAGAACCTGTTTCATTATAATTTTTGTTCAAATCCTGTGCTGAGCTGAAAACTAAAACTTTCATGTTTATTTGGCTTTACATATTATCTTTATTTATACCCAAACCAAACCTATTAAAGTCTAGGTATTCCTTACAGGAGATATAATGTGAATGCTAAGAATTTGTAACTAGTAAACTGGTTCAAGGCTAGGACAGCAGTGGAAACTTAAGGCAGCAGTGGAAACTCCTACATTATGGCCTTTCCATTTTGCATTTCAGTGATGTTGGTTTCTTTCTGCAGAGTTCTTTATATTCTTCTCTGAAAGATGACTTTTTGGTTGAGCCCTCTTGAATGATGTACAACGCAGAAATGATGGGATACGCTTCCTAAATCTTATGGCAGCAGCAATAAGACCAATGAGAAGGAGGAGACCCAGACCAAATATTGCCCAATATACCCACCAGATTTCATAATGCAGCTTAGATGGGGGAGGGCCACTGTCAATACTTCCTCCAAAGCCATGGAACTGACAGTTTGGAGGGGCCCAACCCCATATACAGTGACAGTTTTTATTATTGTTGCAAACTCCTTTTCCACTGCAATGTATATTCTCATTGCAAGCTTTTTTGATCATTGAAGCAGCAGTACATGTCCGATTCAGACACAGCTTTGTTTTGCCGCACATTGTGCCATCTATCACCATCCCGATATCAATGATATCTATCCCTGCATCTATGCCCCAGCACCACCCATTAACCACAGGTGTTTGAATAATAGTTTCATACTCCTCCAAAACAGGAATGGTTTTCACATTCACACACTGCAGTCTCCCACACAAGCTGTTGTTTAAGTCACATTTCGCAAACTCAGTTTCTTTCCCGTCACCCCCACAGTTGCCAAACCGATCAGCTTTTAAATTCAGCTCATTGAAGCACATTTTGGGAGCAGCCTTAGCTCCTTTTCCAAAGATACTTTCACACTGTAAATTATGGGTGGCACATTTCCCTTTATAACAGTAGCCGTTGTCACTGCATGGATTTCCGTCCTGCTCATACACATCTTCAGGACACCATTCAAAAATCCCATTGCAATATTCAGGCAGGTCACACTCATCTGAAATTGCTCTACATGTTTTTCCTGATGGAAGAAACTTACATTTTCGACAGCACTGTCCAACAGAACAAACAGCTCCTCGCTTCAGCGTGCAATTGTGATGGCAACAGGGATCCTTTCTGCATTGTATCCGGTCCCCACAATCACACTCTTCTCCCTGGTCCACTACTTTGTTACCACAGCGCTGGATGGTAAAAAGTTTGTGAGGTCCAGGGACGTTATACAAACAGTTTCCTTTTCCTTGATCCATTAGGTATAAAAAATCTTCTTTACTGCAGTTACTGAATAGACTTGTTTTTGAATTTCCTTCACTCATAATGCAGCTTTTTTGATTGCCACACATACAGCCTTCTTGATCATGCTCCATGCCAAGATTATGACCCAGTTCATGACAGACAACTTTTGAAAAGAGTATTGGCCCCTTATAAATGTAGGCTTCAACTGCTGCTCCATAATAGTTTTCACAGATCCCACTTACATATGCCCTACCAACTAATTTTCCAAAATTTTTATAAATAAATAGGTGTGCAACATCATGTTTCACACGTTGAGCAAGATTAAGTCTTCTCCAGTCATTAAAACCTTGAAGAAGCAACCTAATGTCTTGAGGAATTCTAATGAGGTTGCTTTGTGTCCAGATTTCTAGCCCAATCAGAAGGACACGTATTTTTAAAGGTTGAAAATGACTATCTACCATATTGACTGTGTCAACAACAAAATATGTCACATTGGTTTGATTTTTCCCATGATGGTCAAACAGGTTTTTGTCACCCACTATAAAGAGCTCAATATACTTGGTGTGTCTGAATCTTATAGTCAGGTCTTTCCCTGTTAAATCCTTCCTACTCTCCATTAAAGCTGCTGGACGTTTGCTTTCTCCGTCAGTTACGTCACACGTCACAGGCATGGGTTCCATCTCCTCAGATCGATACAGAAGGTGCTGGAAGGTAAAGGAATTCTCCACAGGTTCAATGCCGTAGCTTAAGCTCCCAATCTGGAAAAAGCCTCTGAGTCCAGAACAAATGTTGAGGGCCGCAAGTGACTCGGGGGTATCTTCCACATACCCATGATAGTAGCAATCGTCTGGAATATGGGGCTGATCTACCTTCAGTTGACCTCTATCATCATAAGTGAAGACTGGGAAATTTTTTACTAGGAATCCTTTCTTCTGCTTTAGGTGAACAATGTGGATCTTTCCTTCTGCCTTGATGGCATAGGACACCTTGTCCTTGGGGGCACTGGCTTCCTTTGGCGCTAGCTTCCTTGGAACTATCACTTCATAGGAAGCAAACCCTGGCGTTGGAGGAGAACAACCGTCTGTGCTGGGCATGAGAGGCCCCAGTAGCACCACAGAGATACCCAGTCTGAGGAGCAGCCCTTGTCCCAGCACTGCATCCCTTGCCATCTCAGACACTTCAGCATGAACGCTAATCCGCTCTGGATTCGATTTATGGTCGTGCTGCCCAAACTGGTGCAGAGAAGGGAAATCTTGGTAGAGTGTTAACTCAGCAGAGCGGCTCCTTCACCCAGTACAGCCCAACATGTTAAAAAGCAACAGGTAATGCCTTTCTCTCCACTCCCAACTGTTACCCATGACCTCTGACAACTGTCTCTCTGAGCTTTAGAGAGTATAGACAGTGAACTTCTCCCTTTATAGTTGACACCCCAGATCAGTGTCAAGAGGGCTGGCTCCCATTCACACCCCCATCTCTGTGGGCCTCACCCATCTCTCTTTTGTCACATTAAGGGCTCACCAGCTGGGCAATGACAAGTACAACAGGTCTGCCAAGAAGCCCATCTAAGGAAGCACAGCCCCACCTTCAAACCTCTGTATGCAAGGAAATTCAGACTTTTAAACAGACAAAACCAAAAACAGGTTATATTGAAACCTGGAAATTCCTGCT